ATTTCAACCAAATTTAACTAAACTACGTCAAAAATTATATAATTTCAAAATTAAGTTTAAAAAAACAACTAACCAAATTAACCTAACGCTAAAATATATATATATATATATATATATATATATATATAATTATTTAATCTTAAATTTTTATTTTAATTAAGCAAATTATATATATATATATATATATATATATATATAAATTTGCTTAATTAAAATAAAAATTTAAGATTAAATAATTAAATTTTAATCTAACAACTCAAAATTAAGAAAATTTAAATTTTTAAGGTTTATGTTAACATACAAATTAACCTAACAATTAATATAATAACAAAATAAAATTAACAAAATTAATCTAACATTTATAAAAATAAAATAACAACTAATAAATTTAAATTATTATATAAAAATTAAATAACAACTAATAAATTTAAATTATTATATACAAATTAACATAACAAGATAATTAAAAACATTCAAATAATTAATAAACTAACAAATAACAAAATTTAACCAAAAATTTATAACATTTATCTAATTAAAAAAATATAAGAGTTAGAGAGAGAAAGTTTTACCCGATTGATCAAGGATAGAGAACACGAGATCTAATCCGATTTTAAGGAAGAAAGATACCTCTCACTTTGTTCAATGATTTTAAAAAAATTTAGTGGCGTGGGACGACGTGAGTGGGCATTTTTGTGGGTGGCGGTGGATGGGGAGGTGTGGTGGAGGTGAGGGAAACAAATGGAGAAGAAGAAGGAGGGCGGATATATAAAGATAAAATAGCGACAGATTCAATTTTGTAGCTAATCCGTCGCTATTTTAGGGGAAAATTTCCCCCTAAATTAGCAACGAAGCCGAGTCCATTTCTACTAGACATTCGTCGCTAACTATGTGCCATTTTGGGGGAAAATTCCCCTCAAATGGCACAAAATTAGTGACGGACTTGATGTCTATCACTAATTTTACAAGATTAGCGACAGATTATAACTTCACTAAATTACGAGAATTTTAACGATGAAAAAAATTTCGTTGCTAATTTTTTCATTTAGCGACCACAAGGCCATTGCTAATCCGTCACCGATTTTGGTACTTTTATTTCTCGCCTTATTTAGCGATGGATTTTTAACCATCGCTAAGTATCCATCATTAGTCCGTCGCTAATCGTCACAAAACATAACCTTTTATAATTTGTCGCTCATGTGTTGCTAAATAGTGATGGATTTTAATCCATCGCTAAATGTCGTCACTAATTGATATTTTTTTGGTAGTGTGTTAAAAAAAATTTCAACAACATACCTAAATTTAATAAAACAACAAAGAACTTTTGATTTATATCGAAGAAAAAACAATCAATAATATTTGTTATGATGATCATAAAAAAAAAGACATAATATGAATAACCATCAATTGAACGGACATGAGAAGGACCACAATGATCATAACAAACTAATCCTAATGGTTTTTTTTTTTTTTTTGCTTCATAATTAGATAAAGGAAAATGTTGTTTATGAATTTTACCAAGAAAACAAGCATGACATGAGGAAACATCTTTATGCAAAGGAACGAGTACATTAAGTATCCTTTAAAGCGTGGTGAAATTTTTTGGACAAGGCATGCCCAAGACTAGCATGTCGGGTTGCGAAAATGGCACTCGTGAGCCCGAATGGAGAATGTATGTCCCAAGGTATAGCTTAGTGAGAAAGAGTAGAGACCATTGTTAAGTTGACCACTTGTGATGTATTTCTTATGAAACTAAGTCCTTCATAAAAAATTTATGAGTAAAACATTCAATAGAACAAGAATTAGTCTTGATAAAACTACCAACGGATAATAAAGTATGATTGCTAGTAGGGACACATAAAATATTATCAAGACAAAAGAAACGATTATGAAGTTGAAAAATAGAAGAACCAAAATGAGATACGAGTTCCGGTTTACCATTAATCAAATGCATAACTTCATCTCGGGCCATTATACTCATTCCGAATTACAAGGTCTTCCAATTACATCATCATATGATTATTCATCCAATTTCCATATTCCATTATTGGTTAGGTGGAGGAGTGAAAGCAAGTTTGGAGGATGGTTTAGGTGTGGGGGCTGCCATACGGGATCGTGGAGAGGGCAAACATTGGCTAAGTGTCTCGTACCATGACAATTGAAACACACAATAGTATTGATGTTAGGTTGTATATGAGTGGAGGATCCTTGACATAAACTAGAATATAGAGTTCGTCTACCACGGTGACCACTTGTCATGGGAAGAAAATTATCTAGTGACATAGTGAACTAAAACCGAAATACTAATAACTTTGTTGTGGTTTTGCAACTAAAATTCCTCACTAAGAGCAAGACCATACAGAGATTCATAAGTAACTAATTTGTGCCTAGACTAAATAGAGTGTATAAATGGTCCGTATGAAGTGCTAAAGCCATATAACAAGGCTTGCTTTAAGCCATCTTCATGAACATCACCGTTAAGGTATTGAATTGTGTCATAAATACTTTTCCCTTACTAGAAATACCGAGGGTTGGATTCATTTGTCCTTTGATTAAGATGATAAAGGCTTCCTTTGAGATGATTTACTTGTGTTCTTATTCTAGAACCATAAGTAGCAATAAGCTTCAACCATGTTGCACAAGCTATTGAGGTACCAACAATAAGGGGAAGAATAGCTTCTATTAGAGATCCAATAATCCAAGTCAAAACTAGTTGGCAATTGCATTCTCATATCACAAAAGTCGGGTTAGGCTTACTCGTCATTGGTGGTAGGAATAGGTGATGTTTGGGAGCCATCGGCATGGTGTAGCGAGACCATGACAACGAAGAAGAGGTTGGAACTTGTGTTTTCTAAAGAATAAAGTTGGAGGGAGTGAGTTTCGGTAAAAAATGCATGTTAAGGTTGGAAAGAGATGGAGAATCCATGAAAGAGGAAGAAATTATGGTAAGACTCTTATCTTGTGGTACATCGGACATGTGGGACGAGAAAAGGAGAAAAAGAAAAGGATTGTTAACTCTTAATGTGTGAAAAAGAAAAAATAGAACAATGGATTGTTAAGTCGTTCATAGCTTTGATACAATGAAAAACTCGTTAATCGTTTGATATATTATGTGAGTTATAATGGTTACTTATTTACATGTATATGAGTATGATAAGCATGAAGTAGTTACAATTGAGTAAGAATCTATTAGCTAAAAAATAAGAGCTAACTATATCGGTAGTAATAGGAGACTCGCATATCGGTAATTGTAGGAGATTAGGAAGTTTTATCATTATCAAGATGGTCCTTAAAATTGGGCGAAGGCTTGGAAGAAAAAAGAAAAAGAAAATTATGTAAAAAAAAAAAAAAAACATGTAATACAGATTTCATGAGAAAGAAATAAAATGAAGAAAACAAAAGTAATATGAAAATGATTATGAATTGAGACAAGGTACATGAAAAGATTTTAAAACTAAAAGAGAGGGTCGAAAACTAATTTTGAAATAGGAAGTTATTAATTAATTCTAGATGATATGTTATATTAGATTTTTAAGTTTATTATTTGATGATGTCATAGAAATATAGTGTCTAACATTTGTATAATAATGATGATGATGATGATGATGATGATTAATAAAAATGAAAAAGATTCTATTGTAATATATCGTTATGTCAACGGACATCATCTATCTCTATAAAAGAAAGTGAATATAAAAAATGAGCTTCTATTATATGATGTTAATGTTATTTTTTAATCTATATTAATAAATTATTGATTCCGTGATAAACGAGATTAAAATTTTTCACTAAAAAAAATTGTTATATTTTAATTATAACGAGTAGCATTTTCTCGGTATATATCTATTCTAAACTTTGACCAGCTGACTAAATTTGACTAAATTAACTAGATGTTCTTAAAATTGACAATTCCTCCTACTCAAAGCTTACTATAGGCGGACGTACGCTCTGCGAGTGATTATGGTGGTATATAATAGTGATGTACGCCATTAATTGTGACGAGTGGTTAGGGCATTGAGTAAAAAGATATTAAGAAAATATATTTAATTGATTTCTGATTAAATTGATGATGTTTCAATTCCATTTAGCTCCGCCTAAAAAGAAGTTGATCAAGTGGAAAACCATTAGTTTTAGTCTTTTGGATGGAATTCCCATCCAATTCGCTTCAAACTTCAATCTCCAAACTTTGATAAAATAATGTTGTTCGATCTCCAAATTTATTTAAGATTGCTTGATTCCGAGAACGAGGCCAAAATGCCAACATCCACTTTATGTGGCAATTTAGATCTAGACTTGGTACAGGAGATGCACGATATTGTATACAGTTTTAGGTCTCGAAGATTTTATAAAAGGACCAAAAGCTATTAAAATGGTCCAATGGAAAGAGGATTTTGAACGTTACAAGGCTCTTGAGAGGAACCCCTTAGGCCCAATATATTATCTTTTTCCAAAGTTGAATCAGCCCATTTAAGAATCACTCAAACTGTAAGGAAAGCAACGTTCAGAGGAAACAAACCAGCCCAAAGATACTCTGCTCGCTAGAAACATAGTCTAATTTTAATGGGCCACGACTGGATGTAATCATGTCCAAAAAGTTTTCACCGCAATGGGTCTCATACAAGGCTTTTGTCCGTCTTTTCAAAATGGCACGGAAGAAATTAGTGGTCACCATCACATTCATATTTCATCCTTACAAAAGCCATCAAAATTGAATAAGAAATCGTTTGTCTTCACTGATTACTCTTTATCATGTTCATGCTAGCAAAAAAATATCAAAATGGAAATTGTTGTTCTTGTTAATGTCTTTTGATTTTATTTCTCTATTCAAGCAACACAAGTGGGCAACCCAAAGCCAAAGAACAAAGCAACACGTGTGCCCATCTTAACCAATACAAAAACATGTGGATAGATGGAGGAATCCATTTCTATTCCAATATTTCCTTCTCTTTTCCCTCCATTACACACTCTTCCATCGCATCCCAATCTTCTCCAACACTGTAATGGCTTTCACTTCTATCTCCTCAATATACATCAAACCTCCTAACATCTCCACTTCATCTTCAAAATCTCCCTCTCCATCTAAGCCTTTCCGCATAGCTTATCAATTGGACACAGAAGAAGGAAACCAATTTCCTGGTAAGTTAAACATATGACTGATGTTATTCTCCTGGATGCTAACATAAGCCTGTTTAGTTTCCAACTAACTGAGTTTTCCTTGAAAAGCAAGATTGTTGCAAAAGTGGGTACAAGGTTGATACTCCTAAATCCAAGAATTGGATAAGACTAGTGTCAACTGCATTGGCAGCTGCAGTTGTTAGCTTCAACTCTGGTAATTTGCCTGCTGTTGCTGATCTTAATAAGTTTGAAGCTGAGACGCGTGGGGAATTTGGCATTGGATCAGCTGCTCAGTTTGGTTCTGCAGATCTCAGGTTATTTGTTTTCTTTAATGATGATTGTCACTGTTGCAAATAGTAAATACTGTTGTATTGTTAATGAGAAAATTAAAGTTGTGGTTTTGTTGCTGTGCAGAAAGGCAGTGTATGTGAAAGAAAATTTCAGGTAATTCTCTCTGATTTCAAAGTAAATCTCACTAGAGTCGTTTAGCTTTACAATACAGTAAATCTAAGTACAAGGATTTGTTCTACTGCAAGGGGTTGGGGAGGGGTCTGTTAGCACACCCACATATACTGCAAAGGTTGGGGTTCCTTATAATCAGGGGAAAAAGAACAAAATGAAACCAAAATTCCCCTTTTGCGTCTTCAAATCCCCAGCTGTTCCACATAATTTGCAATGCAAAGATTAAGGGCTCCTAATTGGCAAAAAGATCCACCAGACAATTTAGTATTTTACGAGAAATGAGCACTCTCTACTTCTAGAATTGGAATATCGCAAAACAAATGATACGCTTAGCATTAACAAAAAAAAACTGAAAAAACTAGGTGTTGAGACTGTTAATCACTATTCATTTACTGTAACTTTGTTTTTTTTGTTATTTTTTTGAACTTTCATAGGCAATAGTTATGCAAATTTTTATATTTTGATCCTTAATATTTTCGAGCATTTTGTTTCGATCCATATCTTCATTTGCTGATACATTTTGATACCTAAGTGTAAAGAGAAGGGAGGAAACAAGAGAGAGACGAAAGGAGAGAGAGATTGTCGACAAGCTTAGTTAGGTCACTTTGGCCGACGAAAATCAATTAGATTTTTTTTTTTTTTTATATCTTTGAAAGATGAGTTTGTCCATGGTGGTTTCAAGCCATTAAACAATTAGAAGAGATAGATCGAAGCCTAAAAAAGATTTTTTTTTTATTTGTTCGTGTATTTTTCTTTTGTTTTGGTGCACATTAAAATAATTTTTAAGGTTTTAGATGCGTTTATTGACTTTATTACGATCATTTAAAGGTGTTTGGGAAAAAAAATGATACCGAAATTCAATTTCTAAGGGTTTGAAACTTGACCTTCGATTTTTCGAAGAAGCTTCCAAAGAATTCAAGTATGCTTGGAAGTTACGGGTTTTTTTTTTTTTTTTTTTTTTTTTGGGTTTTTTTGGAGGGTTGAGGAGCAACCTGTGCCCGTGTGTGGAATTGCAATCGCGAGCCTAAGCGCGTTGGCCTAGCTCCACGAGCCAACCGGGCGTGACCTTTTTTTTTCCCCCTTCCTATATATATATATGTTTCGGTTATTTATTTTTTATTAAAATTCTCATTAAACTAATTTTTTTATATGATTTTATTTATTAATAAATTTAGTTTTTTAATATATGAATTTTGTAATACAATTTTTAAACGTTAGTGTTTTATTTTTTAAAAAATATATTATTATGATTTATACAATAAATTATTATTTTTCCTTTTCAATTAGTTTTTAATATATATATATATATATATATATACGAGAGAGAGAGAGATGTATGTTTTAGCTAATTTGACTTTTTTTAAAAATTAATAATCGATTAAAAGAATTTACAATTTTTTTTATATATATATTTATTTAGAATTTATCGAAACCAATTTTATTGTAGTTTTTATTTTAATCTGTTGACTTCAATAAATTTGATATAATTTATGTGGTTTTTTTTTTGTATATTTTTCTATTTATTTTATATACTCGAATTTGTTATATATATATCCGTACAGTAAAACCTCTTTAAATTAATACTCGATAAATTAATAAACTCTCTAAAATAATATTTTTCTTTGGTCCCGACTTGGGCCAGTTGAAAAAATCATCAATTTCGATAAGATAATAAGATAATATACTTTCGAAAAATTCCTATATAAATATATGGTCCCATTAATATCACAAATTAATAATTCTTTAAAATTACAAATATAACTAAGACAATTTAGTGAAATATGATTCTAATGTTGTCTCGTTTTTTCTTAAAACGTAAATCTAGTTGGAGTTCATCTCTAATTTTTCTTATTGCATCCAAAAGTTTCGGTGTTGTGTTCTCGAACTACATCAAAAAATTGTGAAGAGTCCAAGATGCGATAAGCGCTTCCTTATGCGTAACTCGGTTCCAAAGGCATTGTATCATCTTTAACTTCATCATCAACATTATTTTGAAGGATGGTATCCACAATTTCTTCTAAGCTCTGGACCTTTGAACATGTATCATTTTCACCCGGGTAATCTAAGAGGTTATTGACATCCATTTTATTGCGGTAACCGAGATCATTAATCATGACCTCAAGTTCATGAATGTCATTTTCACAAGTGGGTTTATCTAAATTCCTTGAGACTTCATCCCCCAAACGAATTTTGCGAGTGTCGAAAACAATTTGCTATTGTCTCTTGTTGAACATTTATCGTCCAAGCCGAGACTCGCAAGATTGATAGCATCCAAAACATTAATCTTTCTTGTATCAGATTGCCCCAACTCATAGCCTTCTAATATACTATGGTAGAATCTCCTACGATAATGCATCTTGAAAGCTCTTATTATCCCAGCATCACAAGGTTGAATTTTTGATGTCATGTTAGGTGGCAAGAAAAACAACTCAACATTTTGTAGCCCTTCAATATTTCTTGGATGTTCTGGACAATTATCTACCACAAACAAAATTCTTCTACCATGCATTTTGTTGTCAAACCAACGAATATATTCATCAAAAAGAACACTTGTCATCCATGCTCTTTTGTTTTCACGATAGTGACAATTCAAGCTGTTCATGTTAACATTCTTGAAGCAACGTGGCTTGGCATATTTTCCAATAATCCATAAAGGAATTTCTTTCGCAGCCATCCTCATTGCAACAAATAACAACCGTGAGCCTTTCTTTGTCCTGTTTTCTTCCTTCAAATTGCTTCGTAGCAAGAGAATGATTAGCTTGTAACTCCGTAAAACAAACCAGTTTCGTCCATATTAAAAACATCTTTCATAGGGAAGTGGTCTATTTTTTCCCTTATGGACTCCAATTTCTTCTCCATGTCTTGTATATCAACCGAACCACTCTCTTCGAAGCGACGAAATAACTTGATACCATGTCTTAGCGAGAATTTCTCAAGCCAACCTTGAGAAAAGTTGTGCTTAGAATCTTGTTGAGGGTATAAAAGTTTCATTGTATCTCTTGTTTTCTCCAAAACTAGCTCGTCCGATTATATTAACATGGTCTTGGTACTAGAGAAACCACTCATAAACAACTTTCTCCATATCTGAAAATTTTGTTGGTTTGTGTCGCTTGATATCCTTTCCTTTTTCTAAGTTAGCCGAAAGATACTCGACTAATCGTTTGAGTGTGTTTGATATTGTACCTTGACTAACTTTTAAATGAAACTTTTCATCGAGCCACAACTGGAGATCTTTTTGAGTGCATGTGGAATGATCTCTTTTGTACTCACATAATGCTTTCCGTATTTGATTTGTCATTGTTGCTTTTATGACACCTTTTAGATGAGAAGCCATTGTTGGGTACGGTTTCAAGAAGTTTTTTATTTTGTCTATAATATATGTCTATGCTACCACCATTATACATTGAATGTTTTTAATAAAAATACAATGAATTGTATTTAATTATTAAGAAACAATGAACATTATTTATTGTGTCTTAATAATTAAATACAATTCATTGTATTTTTACTAATGTTCATTGTTTATGTAGGTTTAACTTATTAAGTAATATTCATTGTATCGTTTCTTAAATAAATAATGTTCATTGTTTCTTAATAATTAAATACAATTCATTGTTTCTTAATAATAAATAGTAAAATAAATTTATTTTTTAAATTAATTCAATAAATATGATACATAAATCAGCTTGTAACCTCTTTAAATTTATCTAATCAAAATTCAACTTCGTTGAATTCCGAAAGCACTCTTTAAATTAATAAATATTATTTATCGGTTAATTAATATCTCTATAAAATAATAAATTCTCATGGTCTCAACAATATTAATTTATTGAGGTTTTAGTAAATGTGTGTGTATCATTAATATTGTTAGAAATTAATTATATATCTACAGATATAATACCGATTATTTGTTATTTATTTTTTTATATTTTAAATTTTTTTAAAAAAAATAAAATAAGTTAGATAATGTTTTAAAAGAGCCTTTCAATTATTTAAATACAAATTTTTATACTAATATTATTAAATATTTGTTTAATAAATATATATAAATCAAATGATTTTGCTCAATATATAAATTCGATTTACATTAATTATTAGGAATAAAACTTTTATTCACGCTACATCATACAACTCGTTAATTCTACGCATGCAACAATTGTTTAGCGTGGGTATCTAACTAGTTGTGCTACTAAGAAATATGCTATTACAGCTATGACTACTATTATGTTTTACTACTGCTGCATTCTTCTTCTTTGGCATGTAGTGATTACTTGTTCTAGTTCAATCTGTATCTTAATTAGCCAACCCAAATGGCCGATGCAGAAGAGCCAATTTCACAGCTGCTGATATGAGAGAATCTGATTTTAGCGGTTCAACATTCAACGGTGCATACCTGGAGAAAGCAGTTGCATATAAGGCAAATTTTACAGGTAAAAACTAGTTGTAGTAGCTCTTCATAGCAACCATAAGATGATCTCGTGACAAAACTCCTGCCGAATGAAAGTAAACTTCTTGTTCAAGTGATTTATAGCAAAGTAGTTCATTTCACACCTCCTTCCCTTAGTACTGCACGAAATCCATCACATTTTGCACATGCAAATCAAAGCTTCTACACTTTTCTTTTAGCTAGATCAGTTATCAACTTCGCTGTGAATGCTGTTGTCCTTCTTGTCCATGTACACTTAGATGGTGCCATTAGTGCGTGCACTATCACCCTAGCTGGACGTTCAAGACCACTAGGAACTCTTTCTAGAAGTTGATTAACCCTATGATGCTGGCCTGAGAGTTTCCCATCAGAACATTCGTCCATGCCATTCTCACTCTGTTTCTCCCTATTAATCCTCCAGCATTCAATTTCTGATTGAAACATGTTCCTGTCACAAACACTTGCGGCATTCTTTTGGTGTTCATGTCTCTCAGTTGCCTCTCCTTTCATTTTGAACAGTGCCATTTCAAGACCAGGTATCTTGTGACTTAAACCATTGGTTTTCATAGCAGCAGATTCTGGGACAACTTCTGTATTAATCCGTGCAGCCTCTATACCACAACCCAGAGGGAAGCATCGAACAGCAGAAATTCTTCTCCGACATGGATAGCATTTTGCTTTTCGAACCATGGCTTTCTTCTGAAAGTCAGTACTTTCATCATCTGAAGTTTTTGATTGGTTGACCAATCCAGCATCATCCAAAACCTTTGTTTCTCCCAGTCTAACCTTTCGTACTGATTCAACCTCTACCTTCTCATCACAAGAATCCACTAACCTCCCTTCGGGATTTGAATCATGTCCTTTAACTGGCACCTCCAAAAGATTTATGCTGCGACATGTGTCAGTGCAAAATCTTTTGGGAGGACCACAACCTATTGGAAAATCACGAATAGCATATATTTTCGGCCGCTTACACCTAGTTAAATCAGCAGATGCACACCCATTCTTACCTATCTTTCTGCCCAAACTCATAACTGATTTTCTACAACATCAATTCGAAATCAACCAAACCTTAATCCCAAACTAGTCAGGGTTCATTACCTCGATTCATCCCCTCCATTTACGTCTATTATAGACAAAACCCTTTGTGTCACCAAACCTATTCCTGCATCAGTCAATACGATTTCACATCACAAAAGAGGGAAAAAAATCAGTTAGACAAAAGCACAGTAAAATTATCTTAATCCTTGCATACTATCTGTTTTCCATTGTACTGCTTTAAAAGCACCAAACTTGAGACTAAAAAAATAACAATTTAGCAATGCTACATATAATTATGCAAAGATGCTTTGTTTTGGTTTAATTCACATAATCAACAGACAAACCAAAGGACAAGGTTTTGTTTCCAAGTAAAAAGGTCACAAGAGAAACAATAAAGGATCCAGCAAACCAAGAGAGACGATGAAGATAAACAGAAAGGATGAACCCACTAACCTCCAATTTTTTGTGTAGGTTTTAGTTGCTTTGTTTCTGCAAAATTAGCATGCAAGATTTGGATTTCGTGTATAAGTGGATTTGCTTTGCAAATCAGGATCAAGGGTTTATCAAGTTTCTTGTGTTTTCTCTATCGCGAGAGAGAGAGAGGAGACTCTAATATCTACGCTGCGGGGGTGAGGTAAAAAGAGTGGATAACATTAATTTAAAGAAAGGGTTAGAATAGGTAAATAAAATAAAGTAACCCTCTAATGCCCACCATTAAAAAAAATTTATATAAATTTCACAAAATTATTATTCTATAATTACTAATTAATGCATTACTGATTTGTGGAATAGGATTTATTTCGGTACAGATTAGCATTGGATTGCCTAGTTGTGGTGAAGGTTCAAACACAAAATCAATTCGTCTAGAGTTTCTTAATTCAAAACGATTTTAGTTTCAGACTTGTGATTACTTTCTAGAATATCTTTATAGAATTCACCTCCTGAGACTCTCACCATTGTTTCAGATTTTTTTTTTTTTACAAAACACAGAGAAAAACAAGGGTTTCTTTCTTTCTTTCTTTCTTTTTTCACACGGCATCTTACTCCAATCTCAATTTCCTACCTAACTTCTTCGCTTCTTTTCCCTTAGGTCGAGGAGTATATTAGTTGATTTTATATGTGCAAATTCAAAACATGATTTTGTTTACAACCATTGTGTAAAATATTATAATATTGGATAGAAGAGAGAGTTTTCAAAATACCGCAGATAGGGGGAAAAAACTCGTATTTCTTGCTATAGTGCTCCTGAAAGAATTCAATGAACATTCATACTAGTTTTTTTCTTTTTTGGTACAATATTCAAATTAAGGGGAGAAAAGAGGAGGAGACAGCACATTTTCGTTGAACTGTATATATAGGAAAATCAATTAATTGAGCTTTTTTATTTTTTTCTTGTTCGTAGGTTGTCCTTGTTACAGGTCATTGAAACATTGAAGTTCCAAATAAAAATCTGGTTTTCAAAACAATTCTATCTTGGATTTCTACGTTCTTTATAGTTTATTTACTTGGTTAGCTGCCTACTGTTTTACGAGTTACGACTATACTGTTTTTGTCCTTTAACTTATGTATGTTGTCCTTGTATATCTTTTGATTAACAGGTGCGGATTTGAGTGACACTTTGATGGATCGCATGGTATGACAGAAAGAGTTTGCAGCACATCTGCGATCATTTATCTATACTATATGGACTAGACAGATTTTCTTGAAAACTATGAACCCACTTGAAAAATGTTGTCTAATCAGTTGGAATGCTTGATTCATTACTGCTTCCACTTTTACGGATTGATAAGGATCATGATGATTTACAAACATAGTCTGCCTTTATCAACAGGTTCTCAATGAAGCTAACCTCACCAATGCCGTGCTTGTTAGATCAGTACTCACACGTAGTGATCTTGGGGGTGCCCAGATTTCAGGTGCTGACTTCAGTGATGCTGTCATAGACCTTCCCCAGAAACAGGTGTTATTATAAACTACCAGCTAGTGCTTGCTTTCATTTTCATCTCAACAATATTTACATTTACATCTCCTTGGCTACTGTTTGTGATTCCATCACCTATTTTCTTCACATCCTCCTATTATTTTCCCTTTCTTTCACTTTTTTCATCAATCATTACTTTAGGATCCTTGTTTTATTCATGTAAAGCAACTATTACATGTTCTCTTATCGGTTGACTTAATCCTGACGCAATGGCATATTGGCATACTTGTTCTCTAGATCATACCTTTCCTTTTCCATTTCCTTTTTTGTTGTTTCTGATAAAATTCATTTAAGTCTGGTAGAGCTTGTATCTTGTATCTTGTATAAGTGAAGAAAACTGACCCTACTGATTGGTACACATATCTATTCTATTGCAACAGCTCTGGTCTCTAGGAGACAAACGGTTGCATTTTGTTTTGACGATACTGTAATCAATTGGAGTATCCTGATTCAATCTTTAAGAATTTAAATTTTACAATGCATATGATGGGTCTAGGGCTTTATAGATGAGCAGATCACCTAATAATAGTCCCAAATTTAAAAGTGCTAAATATTTCAGAAAATTTGATCACTTTCACCAGCAATTAAGATGGAGGAAAAGCGAATTATCAAGAGTAAATTGATAGGATTCACTTGTAGCAGTTCAATTTAATTACCATGCTTATGCACCACCTTTTTTTTAGCAATGGTCAAAGGCATTTAGCAGTTCAAGTTTCATATTGTGATCGCGTATTGTTATGCATGGATTCTACACTATCATTCTTAATTGATTCGTATATGATTATTACTCTTCTTTTTTTTTTTTTTTTTTTTTTTTAATTATTATTATCATATAGGCTCTTTGCAAGTATGCGAGTGGCACAAATCCTACTACAGGGGTAAGCACCAGGGCAAGCTTAGGTTGCGGAAACAGCAGACGAAATGCATACGGCACACCTTCGTCTCCCCTGTTAAGTTCTCCACCGAAGAAATTGCTGGACCGCGATGGTTTTTGTGATCAAGGCACTGGTCTTTGCGATGGGAAATAATTCCAAAGGCAAGGTGATCCCAACAAACAAGTCACAGTATCTATGTAAATAGAAGCGCGATATGTGCGACAAAAGAATTTTATGAATCGGAACTACGTAATTCTAAAATAACAAAACAACAAAAGGCTGAAGGGAGAGGCTGCATTTCCTTGCCAATGTTTTGAACAAATCATGGAGAGATTTTCTGAATTGCACAATTATAGCTATTTGGCTAGTTTTTTCTTCTTCTTTTTTCCCCCTTGATTTAGACTGCTCGTAAGCCATCAATCTCTCGTCCCAAAGGTTGATTTTCTGATCAATATGTGAATAACGCAGAGACCTCGATAAAGCAGAAGCAGCATGTGGGACACGCACACAAAGTTGAGCAATTATGAAAGCTTGCGTGCTGTCTTCAGACTGAGTATTTCGTGCTATCCTAAAATTGTTCCTTCTTATCCCTATAGATATTGGGGGCATGGTCAACTAAAGTGGAGCACTCAAGAGAATCTAGCAAATACTAGTTGTAACCATCTCAACATGATCTTAGAAGATGCAATGCAGCTAAATTTTTTGGCACCCAGAACCAAGTTGGAAGCAGTAACATGGCAAAAAATGTTGGGGTTCATAAATCTATGATGGGGTTTTGTATTGTTTCCTTGCAAGGTGTGGGCAACTAACAGAAAAGAGAAACAAACTAGAAGAAAAAAGGGGCCAAATAGGCTTTTCCATGTTGAGGAAGTTATGATGGCACGAAGAGCACTGGTGTAGGGTACTGAGAAAGCCTATCTCAACTCCCAAGTCAAGTATCGACCAACTAATGAAGAAATCGATCAAAGTTGCTTATTCTTTACTTTTCTAATTCTTTCCCTTTTAATTTTTAAAATGAAGTCTTAGAACTCTCTAACGAACAAACAAGTCTAACCATTTCTTGTATCCTTTATGTTTGGCCATCCAGCATTGCCAATCAGGGAATGTGCCCTTTTAGCCTGTAGATTCCACTCCCACTTTGTCTTCCTCAAAGAGTCAAGCATGCATGCCTTGTACAAGGAGGAAGAAAAAAAACAAAAAAGAAAAAGAAACAACTAAACTCTCATGAGAAATTCATCTTTCATGATCTCATACTTGGAGATAACTAGCTACCAGCATCTCTTTAACCACTGCAAGTTCTCTACTAATAATTATTGGGCGCAAACATGAGATATGTTGGCCAATATTGTTTCTGAGGATACCGACCACGTATTGTCCCTTGATATGTATATCTTACGTACGGTATGTAAAATTAGTATCTACTTATTTATCCAGTCAAGGAATATCTTCTTGATAGCTTTTTTTTTTTTTTTCCTAATCTGTTTTATAAAAAAGAAAGATAGTTGCATCTTGGCTACTTCTAATCTTTAAGCTAACAAATTAAAATCGTTAAATATATAATTAACAAAAACAACCAAAAAATATATATAGAGAGAGAGAGGTTATAACTATTCATTCATTCACAAATCATTATTTATTTTGTGGCATTTTATTTTTGTAATTTTAGATTCGTGATTCTTTTGACTGTTTTTGGGCGTTCATATGCAAATATTGTATTATATTTTATTTTGGTTTTAAATATTTTCAAAAGATATTTTTAGTTTTTAGATGGACTACAATTACCTTTTTTCTTTTTTCTTTTTGTTTTTTTTTCGTGCAATTTTTTTTATTGAATTGAGTGCAAAAATTAAAAAAAATCAATTGTTATTTTAATTTTATAGTTTTTCACAAATATATATATCGATTATATTAATCTTATTGTTTAAGATTAATATCTTTAATTTGTCATTTTTATGAAAATTCTCTTGAAATTTTTTTTTATTATTCCTTTTTATGTAATTTTATTTGTTAATAAATATAATTTATTTTCCTCTCGTGTATGGATTTTGAATCATTTTTTAAATAAATAATTAATTAAAAAAGAATTCATGTGTTTTTTTTTTCGTTTGCTTATTCTTCATAAAATCAAAATTTATCGAAATCAACTTTTTGATTTTTTTTATTATAGTCTATTAACTTCAATATATTTCTTACTATTTAAGTTTTTTTTTTAAATTTGTTTTTTATTTATGATGCACACTCGACCCACGTAGTATAGTCATGATGTATAAAACAATTATGATAATTGATTTTATTATAAATTAACTATGCATCTACACACATAACACTAACTATTTTTTATTTTTTAAAATTAAAATTAATTTATCTCAAATAAAATAAGTTAAATAATATTTTAGAAGAACCGCCTAATAATACAAATATATTTTTTATACCAATATTATTGATTATTTGTGTGTGTGTGTGTGTGTGTGTGTGTATAAAGAAAAATAAAAAATATTCATTTGTTAAATTTTTATATTAATTGTTGTTTTATTTCTTTGATGCAATCTTATGGAAAAATTATTAAGACATTTTTTAAAAAATTTATATTAAATTTTCTATTTAAATTATCACAGGTTTTTATTTAAGAATAAATACATAAAGAAGAATAGATCATGTTTTTTAACTACAAAAGTTATGGGAAAAAAAAACAAAAAAAATAAATTAAATACAAAATTTTAATTAAAAATTATAAAATTTGATAAAATTTTATTTTTATTTTTAATTGTATATATTTTAGTTGACTCGATAATATAGTATAGTCTATCAAACTAAAATAAACTTATATTGTTCGGCTTATAATGTAACATGGGAAGCCGATTAGTGTTTTCTATAAAAATCAAAAGCATAAAGCCTATATCTCGAGTATATAACTTTACATTAAGATTTGAATTCAAAATCTGAAACATTGAGAAGGCTTAACTTTATTTAAAGAAAAGAGCCCATTGAAATACGTGAACAAGGCCCAAACAAATTAAAGGTTGTGTTACATGCTTACAAATACAATCCATGATAATTTTGATAGGATTGTTATAACCTCATCCATCACATTGATGAACAAAAGAACCACCTGGTGTTGTTCTTGATGATGAATCAATTAACCATGCTTATGAGAGTTGGAACTGTCAAGACTAACTTGTTCTCAGTTGGATAGTTTCCTATTTATCTGAGGCCATCTTAGCCCATGTTGTTGGAGCCGACACTGCTAGGAAGGCAAGGCTCAAATTGACTACTGCCTATGCCTCTGGTTCACACACTCAGATTCGCCAGATTAAAGCCCAACTAATTTGACTTCATCATGATAATAATGACATTCCCATATATATTTTAAAAGCCAAAGCCTTAATTTATCAATTGGTAGTTTTTGGTCAGTCCCATGCTAGAAGATGATCTTGTTGAAGCAATCCTTACGGGTCTTGCCGTCTTGGTAGTATATATCGCTAATTTATTCATTCTTTAGAGACTCAGCTTACCACTGTCACCTATGATGATCTTTATAGACTATTGTTGAGTGAAGAACATCAACTTCATATGGATGCAGTAATGAATGATGCCATTAGTACTCCTATTGCCCACTTTTCATCTTGTGGTAGTAGTTTCTTCCGCGACACAGGCAGGGGCTAGAGGGGTCATGGTTATCGTGGTGGTAGCTATAATTCTGATAACTACTCTTATGCTCGCTCCCCATTATATCATAATTATTCTCTTCATATGTCAGACTCTGCACACTTGGACACTGGCACTATAATCTGCCATAATTGCCACGGTCATGGCCATTTAGCTCGCTAGTGTCCTTCACCCTTACAGAGGAGTGACACAAGACAACAACATTCCAAGCCAGTTAGTTACCTTGCTTCTGCAAGTAGTCTGCCAAATCAATCATGGGTTATTGACATAAGGGCCACTCACCATCTCATGGTAGACCTGACAAATTTGGCTCTTCATTCTAACTATACTAGAACTGAGGAAGTAACTATTGGCAATGGTAAAACTCTTCCAATCTCTCGCATTGGTCATTCTTCTATTTCTCTCAATTATAACACTTTTGAGTTGACAAATCTTTTACACGTTCCTACTGCCTCTACAAATTTACTTTCAGTTAACTCCTTTATAAAAGCTAATGAAGTGTCCATTGAATGTTTTTCTACCTAATTTGTTATTAAGGATATCCAGATGAGGGCGATGCTTCACACCAGGCCGAATAAGCATGGACTATACCTGTTGCACTAGACTCATCCCTCATCTAGTTCTTCGGTCAAGCATTATCAGCATCTCTATCTTCACGGCATAATCACTTGGATCATGCTTCTTTTCAGACTATTCGTCAAGTCCTTCGCCACAATAATATCAGTGTTTCTGAGAAAGAATTTGCTTCTATTTATCATGCTTGTAGTGTTAGTAAAAGTCCCAAATAGTCTTTTACTAAGTCTAAATTTAAAGCCCAAAAACTTCTTGAAGTAGTTTCTTTTGATGTTTGGGGACCATCCCTTTTCGCTTCAGTAACTGGTCCTAAATATTATGTTTTTTTTTTTTTTTTTCACATTATAGCAAGCATACTTGGATTTATTTTATTAAATACAAATATAAAGTGCTTAGTACTTTTATTAAGTTTAAGCATGTCGTAGAGAAATACTTTATGGTGTCTATTACATTTTTTCAAGTAGATTGAGGTAGCGAATATCATGCTCTTATCAAATACTTTGCTAACAATGACATTACACATAGAAGCTTATGTCTGCATACCCCTGAACAAAATGGGTATGTATAATGAAAACATCAACATGTCATCAAAATTGGTTTAGCAATGTTGTCACTACTTTTAGGGGATTTTTAAAAAATTCTTCCAATTATAAAAATTGTTTTGTTTGCTTATTAGAGATGTGAGTTCAACCACGTTTTTTGAGTCGCCATGTAATATTAAAGAATCTAAAAAATCTAAAATTAACACTAGTCTAGAGATTTTATGATAAGAAATTAGTTATGCTTTTAGAAAGATATCAATCACCCAAAGGCACCCTTTCATAGGAATATGAAAGATACCATGTCTAATTTAATCCTAAAATTTATCTCCCTAAATATCTATTATTCGCCGAAATTATTCATAAGTTACAATT